GCGCACGGCGCGCGGCGGGGGCGGGGCCGCGGGCGGCGGGGGCCCGACACCGCAGGGCGCCGCTGGCCAATGCCATGCTGCTGCCTCTGCTTGTTTACGAGGTTGTGTATGGCAGCCGTGTGCTTCCCTTCCTGCGCATTGAGTTGGTGATGTAGGGCGAGCTCCCAGGGTCTGGCGTGCACAGCAGGTGCGGCACGCAGCAGCATACAAACGGCATCGGCAGCAGGCAGCGTGATGCCCTTCGCAGTGCAGAGCTGCTTCTGCTGATAGGCACATTGTGTCCAGCGCTTACCTTGACGTCCAATCCGTGGTCTTTTAGTCGGAGAAATTGCTCTGGTGCGAGCAGCGGGGAGCGGGTGCAAGCAATGAGGCGAGGCCAGCGCAGTGGATGATGGTCGACAACCAAGTAAAATGAAGCATTCTGCTGAGTCCGACCTGTGGTTGTGGAGCTGCTCCTGCTGGGTCAAAGCTGGTCTCGCTGCTTCCTCGTCACTCACAGCCCTTTCGTCCCCACTATACCTCTGACAGCGAAGCGGCATGTGGCAATTACACGCACAGTGTGAAGGTCTTGCGTCACATGTGTAGCTTAGGATCAGGCGCCCCGGGCTTCGCATCCCATACAATCAAGCTGCAGCTCAACCCCGCTGCAGTCACACTTACTGCAGGCTCTGGCTGCTCAGCACCGCATCATACAAGACTTCATGAGCCCACCTGCTTCCGTCAGAAGCATCGCAGCACTGTCGTACATGAAGAACGTGTGGCGTTGTGCCTTGCATTATGTCCAGGCGACGACAAAGCCAGTGGCGTCACAGCGTTCAAAACAACGCCCTGATGCGGTCGCCTCGGACCGCCTCGGGCACTATTTGCAGGGGATGCGGATGAAAAATGCCATCCCCGTCTACATGAAAGCCATGTAGAGGATCGCGCATGCGGAATGCAGTCATCCGAGGTGGCGGGCCTAGCGGGCGGCCATCGGGCGTGTTGAGTCGACGGGTTGCCTCTGGGCCACGGCAGCGCAGTGGCTGCGTCGCCCCATGGTGACCAAGCACATGCAGAGTTGATAGGATACATACACTACTGGAGGCAATAAGAATCCCATAGAACCGGTGTAACCCGCACGGGCAATGAAACGGTGATCTCGTACATCGTGCGATTGAAAGAACACCGTATCGAAGCACGTTGAGACACCAAAATATCCATTGACTGTTGGGCACACCCCGTACAGCTTCGGCCGGCGTGCTTGAAAATGGGGCCACGCAGCACGTTGATGCTACTGGCGCTGTGTGGCCTCCCGGGGCTTATAGCGGCTATGTATATGCCAGGTACATACCCGCAAGAGTTCCCTGTCGGCCACCGACTGCAAGGTGCGGCGCACCGCCCCCGGGGCACCGCTCTGAACGGCGCCCAGACCCTGCGGTTGCGCGCCGTGCGAGCGCAACTTGGCAGGGTGCTGTCGGCGCCTGACGAAGCGCAAGCATCAAAGGCCGTCTTGATGGCCCGGACCCCCCTGCCGATCCGCCGGCCCCCTACGCGCGTGTGCGCCGGGCAGCGGCGTGCAACCGCCACGCACACATAGCACGATATTTTGCGCTGATGAGCCCACCACAAGCCCCCTGCTCCTTTGACCTCTCCGGTGCCAACCATCCCCGCAGTGGCGGTCAACTCTTTGACTTCTTTCGAGACCGACCTGCCCTTTGAGTACTACACGCTGCCGTTCTGCCGGCCGCCGGAGGGCATCAAAAAGGTGGCCAACACGGCCAACCTGGGCACAATCCTGCAGGGGCTGCGCATCGAAAACTCCCCCTACAACCTGACAGTCATGGTGGGCGGCGCACGCGGCCGGGGCGGCGGCCGCACTCCGGCTCGGCCCTGCGTGGGGGTGTGGGCAGAAGGGGGGTAATTGTAGTGGTGCAGGGTGGAGAGAATGATGTTCCTTGCGTAGGGATGGGGGTGTGGGGGGACGAGGGGTGCTGGAGCCGGCTGCGGCGAGGCCCAATTGATGGGCCCGACTGTAGCTCGAGCCCCATGGCTGCCTGCCACCAGCGGCAGGGCCAGTCCAGCAGTCCAGCAG